CACAGTCCCACAAACCCTGATGTTACTGTCATCCCATCAAGGAGAAGCCTGAGTGTCAGAGAGGGTAAGAAACTAACTAGTTGTGTAACCTGGAGTGAGTGGCAGTGTCGGGATTTGAACCCAGTTTGGGGTGGATCTCTTCTAAGTTGAACTACCAGCCTTCGCGTGAGTTGGTGCCAGAGAGTTGGTTAAACAGTTCTCTTGCAGAGCTCCTTTTTTGTGGTCTTCCTGACAGGTTATTGATAGACCTCTTCCCACGTGGGCAATGAGATCCTTGGGTGCTGGGCTGATGACCCCTCTGTCCTCCTGGCAACCCCGTCATAACGAGCACCCTCCAGAAAGGCTCCACCCTGAATCTGAAAGTGGCCTCCAAACATTAATGCTGCCCATTGGGTCTCTTGGAGGGAGGAACTTGGAATCTTTCCTTTATTACATGATACAGGAGATTTATTGGAGACCAGAGGGCTTAACGGAAAACATTCTTGATTCACGTCCAGTTGGACAGGCTTGTTTGAGAGATGCAATCGGCCATTTAGTGTTAGGCTCTTGAGTCACGGCAGCTCCTGGATCACAGGGATCTCTGTTTCTCAGGAGAGATGCACAGATATCTCCGGAGTCCAGCCTCTCTACAGGGGTTTGCAGTGTGGCCAGTGCCATTGCCATGGACACGGGTGCCTGTCCAGTGGTCTGTGGTCCGTGGCTACTCACGCCTCGGCCTTACCCTAACCTTACTTGAACCTTGGGGATATTCTCCGCTATACACAGGGGAGGTTGAGAGGGCAAAACAAGTTATGTAAATCGGGGTGATGAGTGTAGTGTGCCCTGGTGGTTAAGCCTGTGGACTCTGTGCCCAGACTGGCTGGGTTTGAATCCTGGCTCCATCATTACGAGCTCTGTGAACCTGGGCATGTTTCTTCCCCTCTCTGTGCCTCAGTTTCTATATCGGGAAAGGTGGGGATAATAATATTACCTACTTCATAGGGTTGTTTTACGGATAAAATGAGTTAATACTTGTCAAATGCTTAGAAGAGTGCCTGGCATATACATAATAAGTGCACAATATGTGTTAGCTGCTATTATTGCTATTAGTGTTATCAGTACCCTTTGGGGTAATAATTTCTGTTTGCATAAGTGTTAAGAAAGCCTGTTGGAAAGTCTTCAGAAATTATCAGGGCTTAACGGATACACAGCCCTGAAGGCTTGGTCCTTTTTAAGACACGAGGGACCCAGAGGCGAGGAACTGTGAATACTGTTGAACTGAAGTGAAGGTTTTGGCACCGTCTTTGGAATTCCCAGATGGCTGAATGCCATCAAGATTAGGAGTTGGACCTTTTCTATGTGTGAGATTAAGATAAATGTAAGCCGTGGAATTCTCGCATTGCATAGAATTTCTTCATTCATTCAGCAGCCCTTTTCTGACACCTACTACACACGCTGTGTAAGCCTCGCATTTCTAGGAAGGCTGAAGCTTGATTTTATCTGTCCTTTCCTGTCTTGGCTGACCTCAAGCACACACATCACACATTCACTACTCACATGCACACCTAGAAACACACTTACACGTTCCTGTCAGCTCCTGTATGGAGCTTCCTTGGGCAGCTCACTTTGTATCATCTATCAAGTGATGTTGGCTGCCGCCCGTGGGACTCAAGGGATTTTATTCAAAAGTCTCAGTGTGAATCGGTTCCTTTTGCATTTGCATATTCTGTGTGCCAGGTGGCAAACTCTAATTTACTTTAATAAGACAGAAACTGCCATTCAGCTCCAAACCACCGTCCATGCCTCAGACTTTATTTTTAACCTAGGACTGACAGCAGCCACCTGGCCACACGCTGATGGGGGGTCTGCCTCTCCTGGCATCTGCTGAAGTGTCCTCTGTCTCCCTCACCTCCGAGAAGCTGATTGGGAGGCTTTGCTTCTCTTTTGTAAGCTACACATGGAGGACCCCCGGAAGGACAGTCACCCAGCGTGACAGTTTCCTTTGGCAAAGATTGGCAGACCGAGGCCAAAGCTGAAAATGTCAGTAAAAACAAACAGCGTTCCGAAAGGGCCTTGTACCTTCCCCCCTCTGTGCTCCCCCGGCCTCATCAGCCAAGTATTGTGTGAGTGGCTTCCAAAGGGCACCACTCCAAAAAGGAATTAGTCTCCCCAAAACACGTTTTCTCCATTTCACCTAGTTCTAATGTTTTTTAAAAGCACCTCCATGCTAATGATACAAAGAAAAGAGAATCACTTGATATTGGCTTATGTCTTTGCAAAGCTCTATTTTTTATGTCTTCTTTTACTATTTTCAGAGTTGAGAAAGGTTGTAGAGAAGTTTAACAGTTTTCTTATCTCGATTTGCATTCATCAGACTCTGTTTTCTAGTGATTGGAAGCTGCTTCCTGCGCAGAGAGGAGAAAGCAGTTGTTGGCTGTACAATTCTATGAACAGTGACCCTATCTTTGTCATTATGTAACAATTGTTTAGGTGTATCTCTCCCCTCCAGAGTGAAAAACTTGCTCTAATGATATGAAAGGATTCTTGGGCACATAGCAAAGTGGATTGGAGCGTGGGTTTTGGCGTTAAACAGACCTGTGGTGGAATTCCAGCTCTGCCACTTAATGGCTGGGTGACTTTGCAAAGTCATTTCATTTTTCTGAGCTTCAGTTTCTTCACCTATAAATAATACATACATACATACAAGTCACCTCTCAGGGTCTTTGAAAGGTGATGCCACACAGAACCCCAAAGTTGCTGGGTAACCAGGGACGCTGCAGTTGCAGGCTTCTCCGCCCTGGCTATCAGCTCAGAAATGTAAAACAAAGCAACTGGGATTCAGGAAGTCAACTACAGGCTATGGACAGCAATTCTCACTTCCTTGGGCAGCTCACTTTTCTGAGCCTCAGTTTTCTCATTGATAAATAAGCAGAATCTTCCTGATGACCTCTGGATCCACCCATGTGAGAGAGAGATTCTGAGTTAAAGCCAATTCTGTCTGAATTGGGACTGACAGAGTGGTGTCTGGCATTGGCAGAGTCAATGTCTGACTGTCTTTGAGGCTCAAGGAAGCGCTCTGTTTCACCAGGACAGCTTCAAGGACATAACCTTTCTGTGTTGGCGTTTACTCAGGTGCAAACTGGGCATCATACAGAAGAATATTGAGTTTTCAGTTAAGGGCTTTGAAATCTTTTGAGATTCTTACAGAGGATCAGGGAACACCAGGTGATTTTTTATTTTTCAGCTCCTTATTGAGATTTCAGATTCGTGTCTGCAAACTCACAGAAGTCCTAGGACTAAATCATTTTTAAACTGGTTAGTAGCAGTTAGGTTTCGTTTTGGATGCATTAGCTCTTGCGAGTAAAGAACAGGTCTTGGATCTATCTGTCAATATGTTCAAAGTGTGTTTTTGAAGAAATTCCAATGAGTTGTTCATTTATTCAACAAATATTTATGGAGCATCTGCTCTCTGTCAGCCACTGATGTGAGTGTTAGAGAAACAGCTGTAAACAGGCAAAAGGCCCTTGCTTTCTTGGAGTTTCCATCAAAAGAAAGGGCAGACAGAAAAAACCAAATGCACAAATAAATAGACAAGTTGCTGTGAAGACACAAAAGCATGGTAAGTTGAGGGAGACGCTGAGGGTTGGATAAGAATGTTCAGGGAAGGACCCTAAGTTGAGGTGATTTCAAGTTGAAAAACAAAATGGGATGATCAGAGGACAGTACATTCTAGACAGAAATGGCCATCAACAGAGGAATGGAGAAAAAGATGTGGCCTATATATATACAGTGGACTACTACTCAGCCATAAAAAAGAACTAAATTTTGCCATTTGCAGCAATATGGGTGGACTTAGAGGGCATTATGCTAAGTGAAATAAGTCAGAGAAAGACAAATACTGTATGATATCACTCATATGTGGAACCTAAAAGATAAAACAAACTAGTGAATATAACAGAAGAGCAGACTCACAGATGTAGAGAACAAACTTGGGAGGGGCCGGGGGACAATATAGAGGTAGGGGAGTAAGAGGTACAAGCCCCTGGGTATAAGATAAGCTACAGGGATATATTGTACAACACAGGGAATATAGCCAATATTTTGTAATAACTGTGAACGGAGTGTAACCTTTAAAAATTGTATAAAAATTTTTTTAAAAACCTAAACATGTAAAATGCACTCATATCAGTAAGTTAGGTCCAATATTGTTTTGTATCCCATCTATCCCATCTTGTTCTAACTCCCCCTTAGAACTGACTTCCACACATATGCCCTATCAATATATTTTTTGCAAAATCTTAAAAAAAAAACAAATGGTAAAGTCAGACCTAAATGTTCTAAGGTGGGAAAGGGCTCAGAATGTCCAAAGGAACTGAAGGAAAGCTTTGTGCCTGGAACAGAGTGAGCTACTTAAAGGTTAGGAGCCGGGTCATGTGGGTCTTATCAGCCATGATAAGGAAATTTATTCTGGGTGTGACTAGAAGTCACTGGAGGTTATCAGCTGGGGAGCCCGTACCACGTGATTGTGGAAAAATACTCATTAAGTGGAAAAAAAGATTCCTACACCTAAAATTGTATATTTCGTACCATTTAAACTACGCAAGTATATACATAACACACACATTCAGAAAACAAACTGAAACAAGATATAGCAAAATGTTTAAAATGTTTGCAGTAGTTTTCTTAGAGGTGGACTTGCTTTTCCTTCATTACTTCCCTGAATTTTGTAAGTTTTCCCCAAGTCTGTGCTACTTTCCTAATCAGAAATAAATCACATGCTTTGTAAAAACTTCGCTGTAGAGCAGTCGGTGGAGAGAATGTAAAAGTGATGCTACTTTCTGCCTCTTATCTCAGATTTGAGAAATAAGTAGTGATGCCTTGAAATGCTACAGTGAATGTGGAAGGCTCTGGCCAGTAGGGAAGATTCTTTGTCTTTTTAATGAGGCTGCTCTAAAACAGACTTCCTATCCTTTCCAAATTATTGATGTAGAAGAATCTAACCTTTTCTTTTCATCCCATAGATCTAAATATAACCTGCCGATACAAAGGTGTATTCCACGTGGAGAAGAATGGTCGCTACAGCATCTCGAAGACTGAGGCTGCTGACCTCTGCAAGGCCTTCAATTGTACGCTGCCCACCATGGCCCAGATGGAGGCAGCCCTGCGCGTAGGGTTTGAGACCTGCAGGTAAGGGACCAGCCCTCACCTGCTGCGGGAAAGTAGGCTGCCTGGGTCCAGGGTGGGGGCTTAGGCCCAGGCTCCTCCGTGACAGCTGAATGGCTGCTTGCCTGAAGAGTTGGCACCGCCCATTAATCTGGCCGAGTCCATCTGGAACCAGCATGACCAGCTGAAATTGAGTATGACCATCACGACTTCACTCTCAAATCTGAGATAGATAAGAGGCAGAAAGTAGCATCACTTTTACATTCTCTCCACCGACTGCTGAAGGCAGTGAAGACAACCTTTGTGAATCACACAGGGAGGGGTTGCCTAGAGGAGGCCCTTAAGGGTCACGTGTTGGAAGCCACTTGCCTGAGGTGCTCTCCAGGGTTTGAAGAAGGCTGCAATATCCTTGTCAGAACCACAAGAGAAAGGGAACCAGATAACAGTGCTTGAAATAAATTTGTGCCTGGTGGAGTCTTCACCCTGCAGACTTGGCTAAAGCAGGTTTTTCAAACAACTCTCTCTCTTTTGATTTTGTTTCTCTTCTCTGTTGCTCTGATTTGAGAGAAAAGGGCATGAAAATTATTGAGATGTATTATTACAAGTGATGGGAAAGCGATGAAAGGGACCAACAGAGGCCTCTTGAGAGGCCTCCTACCGGACATCACAGTGCTCAGGGAGCTGTCCTCAGGCCCAGGATATTCACAGCAGGCATGGCCCTTATTTTTCGGAATTTCTCATGGGCCTGTGGAAAGTGGTGCACATTAAGAGCGAGCAGTGGTGACAACCGTGGTGAAGTGTTTCGGTTTGGTTTGTTTTCTTTAGAAGAGCTCTGGGGGATCTGGACAACTGCTCTCCGAAGTTTCCACCCCAGCCTGCAGCTATCCCTCTGCACTTTTGCAACGTGATAGCGTTAGGTAACGTGGTTCCCTTTTCTCTTCAACATGCAAACACAGGCTGCTTTTTAAAGAGTCAAGCTGCAGAACTCTTTATGGAAACCATTAAATGTAAGTTAAATACATCTATCCCCTGTCCTTGGTTACAGAGTAAGGCACCCATAGTGTATGGGTGGGAACTGAGATGCTTCTGCTGTTGAGGAAAAGGCGCATCTTCACAATTGCACTAATATGGTAGCCACCAGCCACAGGTGGCAATTTACACTTAATTAAAATTAAATAAAATCAAAACTTTAGCTCTTCATTGGCACTAGCTACATTTCAAGTGCTCGATTAGCCACAAATGACTAGTGGCTACTTTATCAGGCAACGTAGATTATAGAACATTTCTGTTTTGCAGAAAGTTCTAATGAGCAGCGCTGCTCTAAAACAAAGAGCAGATGTGTGCAGGCATCTGTGTGTGTTCAGAGCAGGGTCTTGGGAGAACATAAAAGGAGCAGATAGCTCTGGTAGCTTCTGAACCTGAGCTGTAGGCTGCAATGAAGGAAAGCTAATTAGCAGGTCCACTTCTATTCCTAAGGCTAATTGTTTAAATATGGCCCTGACGAGGTCAGTGGCCCAAGAAAGTGGATTTAGTAAGCTGAATTTTGATTGTGAAATGCAGACAAGGCAAACTTGCTAAATACCGAAAAGTTCTCATATGCTGAAAACGGGAAGTTCTTACTGTACCCACTGGCCAGTCATCCAGCCCTTAGATGCTGGGTGACCCCAGCCCACATGCCCATAGCCCTCTCTTAATCCTCAGACTGCACCAGGGGTCAGTTATATGACCCCACTTTGCAGAGGAAGCAACTGAGGCTTAGTTGCAGCCCACCCCGGGCCACATCACTTTCATGGGGAGGAGTTCGGATTCCAGACCAGCTTCTGAGGCGAGGGCAAGATTTAATGACCCGTTCCTCCCTAAGGACTGAGAGCAAAAGGGAGATGAAAGTCTGGTGCATGGATGGATTTGCTGGGAATTTCTTTCCTCCCTGGGAACAACAACCTACTCATGAAGTGTACACATATATAAATTTCAATATCCCCAACTTATAGACAGGATGACACATAAAACCAGCGGTCGACACGATGTGATAAAAACTCAGGAATAATTTAAATTCTAGAATGTCAGTGTGATACAGGCTAGCAGAATGTGATGGGAATGGGGTGGGCAGGAGGCTCACCAAGGAGTGTTATTATTTTAAAAAAACAAAGAAAAACTGTGCCAAAGATAGCTATCGTTCTACCCATAGCTGGTTTTAAGTGTTGCAAAACTTATTTCCATAATTTCACTCAGGTAGCTATGAATCAGATACCCGCCACAGGACAGATGCGAGAGTCTCACGGGTGATGGAAGGAAGAACCTTAGCATCTCCTCTCTTCTGTCTGCCCCACCCTGATTAGTAGCAATTCTCAGATACATGGAAACTTACTAACATTTAACTGCGGCCGCTCCCCGCACCAAGCTCAGGAGTCTTTGGAGAAACCAGTCTGGCCATTCAGATGAGGAATTAGTCATGTCAGCTTTTGCAACTTAGACATAATGAGTTCGATGTGCTTAGAAATTTCAGACTCACAAGCATTCCCATAGGTCTTGCAGCGTGATGCAGTATGTACTGTCACCCCTGGCAGGAAAGATTAAAAGGATTTGGGCTGTGCATTTTAGCCAGCACTGCATTTTCAAACACCTGTTGGCTTTAGCTTCTCCCTCTCTGCTCTTCCCTTGCCTCTGCCTCTTCCCTTGTAAATGGTATTTTCTCAGCCACATCTCATTTTCTGAGGCATTTTATATTGGAGAGAAATCGTGCGGTAAATATTCAGCCACCACGATGCTGGTTGAAGAGGCTGCGTGCTATACGTTTCCAAACCGCTCCCAGAAACACCATGGTGGGGCAAAGGGGCTTAAGCACTTCTCTGCTGCTTCTGGAAAATTCCTGAGCTAATGAGGCATTGCTATCTACTTAATTACTCTGACTCCCATTTTAATGACAGTCGATTTACTTCCACTGGCAATGGAATTATGCCTGAGATGCTCATGGGACAAGATGCATTGTATCTGGCATGTAAACAAGGCTTTGTGTTTAGAACAATGAGGTCTGGCGTGAGGGAATCACAGGAAAAGGTGAGGCCAGGAAAGAAGAGGATGGGATGGGAAATAAGGCAGGTTTGCCATTCGTGGACTGAAACCAAGAGCCACCTAGTTCTGTCTGATACGAGCCAGTCATTTTCTGTATTTTCTGGCAAATAGGAAGGTAATGGCGGGCCAGAGTGGGTCTCACATCGTCAAGGGGTCATTCTGTCTGTGACTTGGGCGTCCCTCTGCTTGTTCAAACTGGCCTGACTGCTGACCATAGATTTTATTTGAAACTAATTTTTTTTTCTTTCATGAATCAATTTTTTAAAACACTTTTTATAGAGCTCCAAAAAAATCATTTTGTCTTCATCAGCCTTGTTGGTCCCTTTCACTGTCCCTCTGCTGTTATTTTTGGCTTTCCCATAACTCAGTTGTCGAAACCTTGTAGCATCCCTGGGGTGAACTGAAGTAAGTATTGCACTGCATGAAATGTCATTCGAGGGGATATTATGAAATCCTTGCTTGTAACCTTGCGGGTGGATGACCTCTGGTTTTTCTTTTGCAGGTACGGGTTCATAGATGGGCACGTGGTGATCCCCCGGATCCACCCCAATTCCATCTGTGCTGCAAACAACACGGGAGTATACATCCTTACATCCAATACCTCCCAGTATGACACGTATTGCTTCAATGCTTCAGGTTGGTTCCAAGTGGATTGGCTTTGTGTTCTTGGGTGGCTTTTGGCCTGCCAGCCTTTGGCAACATGGCTGACAATCTTGGCTTAAGTGGGGATTCGTGTAGCCTCCACTCACATAACAGATGTTCACCGAGTATCTCTCCAGTAGACGAAGGATTCCTGTCTCCAGGGTGCTTTAACTACTAAGTTGGAAAGGCCAACAGTAAACAAATACATATTAAATAACTTACATGAAGTCAGAGAGTAACAAGTGTTACAAAAAAGAAAGCAGAGCAAGGGGCTGCAGAGTGCTGAGGATGCTTTGTTTTCCTGAGAAGATAGTCAGGGAAAGTGCCTCTGAGGAGCTGGGTATAGGGAGATCCCTGAGCGAAGCGAGGGAGGGAAGCCATGGCACTGTGCATAGCAGTGCAAAGCCAGGCCTGTGGGAGCATCACCGCCTGTGCTGAGAGTAGCAGGGAGGCCATGGTGGATAAAACCCGGTGATCAGAGGGGAGAAAGCCAGGGAATGAAGTTAGAGAGGTAGGCAGGTGCCAGAACGCTTAGGGCTTTGTAAGCTATGGTAGAGAGTTTGGACTTTTTTCTCAGTGTGATGGGAAGTTATGGCAGGGGTTTGAATAAGGGAGTGACATGAATCGAATCTAATGGTAGCATTGGGGCATAAGCCAAATGGCTTTGCTTGGAGGTGTTTGTTACATGTTGGGGCTGGAGAGAAGGCTGGGAGGATATATGGTAGGCCTTTGACCTTCTTGAGTCCTTACCCAACAATTGAAAACCCAACAGCTAGAGAATAAGAAAGCCAAGTTAGGATATGCGTGCTGGGCTGCTGGCCAGGCCCCCCTCCCTGTGTAAGGGACTTGCTTCCAACCACCAGCCTGGAGACTCATGCTTACAAGTCTAACTTAGGCCCTAGCAACATCTTGAAATTCTGTGCACCATGGGTCTTCAGGGTCTTTTGAAGAGAGTCAAACCCAGCAATGTCAAATTTTTGAATGCCAACCATCAAATGTCTTACTTCTCAAATGGGGCCTTCTGTTCCCCCCTGAAGGTTTAAGATTGTGTGAAGGGGAAGACGGAGTCACAGGGCAAATGTGGCACATCTTGTTGACATGTCAGTTTCCTTAAAGGTAGGAAGGGGATGTTAAATTAGCTGGAAAATGACTTAAGATATTACCTATATGAGACAGATATTATTACATGATGACTTAAGACATTGTTTTTATAAATCAAACACAGATATTACATATGGTAGTAGAATATAAAATCTACATGGATTTTTAAGCTTAAATAGAGGCATCAAGGAAATTGTGAGATTGCATCAGTAGCTTTTGGCTTCCCCACCCATCCACTGCTGTGTGAGCAGCAGGGATGAGAGTGGGAATTCAGAAGGGAATTCTAGCACTTAGGAGAAAGGGAAAATATCAGGGCTAGTTAGTTGAAATGGGGTGCATGAGGCCAGTAAATTATGTCAAATTTATACTGAACCGATGGAGGGGCACTTAAAACGAGGAAAACTACAGAGTGTTGCCTCTTCCCTGTTATATAAGCAAAGAACACAAATGGAGTTTGACCCAAGAAGGAGAGTCCAACTGAGGCTAAACGATACACGGTCGCTATCCAGTCCGCATAACCCGTACCAGAAAGTCTGTTCTAACACGGTCGCTATCCAGTCCGCATAACCCGTACCAGAAAGTCTGTTCTAACACGGTCGCTATCCAGTCCGCATACCCGTACCAGAAAGTCTGTTCTAACACGGTCTCTATCCAGTCCGCATAACCCATACCAGAAAGTCTGTTCTAACACGGTCGCTATCCAGTCCGCATACCCATACCAGAAAGTCTGTTCTAACACGGTCGCTATCCAGTCCGCATAACCCATACCAGAAAGTCTGTTCTAACACGGCCGCTATCCAGTCCGCATACCCATACCAGAAAGTCTGTTCTAATAACACGATGAGAAAAACCACATGCAGTTCAGTAGGAAAGAGACACAGAGCCACACGTGGTCTAACTAGGTTAGCTTAATGTCAGAGGTCGGAGGAAGGCTTTGGGGAAGGCTTCGTGCTTTAGGTGAAGGGGTTGGTCACGTGGGATGGGTCAATTCACGGCCGCATACTCTCCAGCCTCTGGGCACTGCCTGTTGCTTCTCCCACTGAATCTTTTCGGGTGAATGTATGCAATAAATTATGTTGTAGTATGTGCACATCATCTCGCCTGCTTTACAAGCTGGTACCCCTTGCTGGAAAGAACCTTCGTTCAAAAAGTTAGAAGCTCCCACTGTTTTATCACCTGGAGTTGAAGCCATGCAGGCCAGTTACTACTGAGACTTTTCTCCCTGTCCTTTTTGCCCATAGGGTTGGGCCCATCTTCAAAGAAGGGAGTGAACGGTACTGATGAACTTTCCTCTTCTTTGGGGAGGCTAGTTCTGTTAAAAAGCTTGAGATGTCCTGGGGGGTAGTGCGTGGCAAAGCAGCTGTAGCAAAGTAGTAAAGTTCAAAGCGATGGTTTTCCTTTTCTCGTATCTAAATTTACTCAATATGGTTAGAGCGCTTTTATCAATTTTCTATATGTTTTAAAAAGAGTATTTATTGATCAATGACATGCATTCAGTAGTGTGTTGGGCAGAGTGGAGTTAGAAGGAGCCAGAGGGCATATTTCTTGCCTTGGGATTTAATCTCGTTAAAGTCATGAGATGAAAAATAAAGGAGCTGGGGAAGAATGTTTATCTAAGGATAAATACATTCTAAATGTCTTGGTTTAGAGTTGAATGACGATGGGAGTGTTGAGTGAGAGACAGATCTTGATAACCTTGTGCTCTATGCCAAGGATCCCATTGGAAAGATCTTTGAATCCATCTTAGCCTGAGACCTACAAACAAGTGGTCAGGACCTGGTGATGTGATCCTGACACAAATTGGCTACAGGGACCAAAGCCAGCTCCATCTTAGCAGATACTTTCTATAAGCTTACAGTTTCAGCAGTGTTTTTGTAAAACATGGCCTATGGTTTACAAATGAAAATAAGGCTTCATGATTTTTTTTTTTTTTTTTTTCCTTGCGTTATGCGGGCCTCTCACTGCTGTGGCCTCTCCCATTTGCGGAGCACAGGCTCCGGACGCGCAGGCTCAGCGGCCACGGCTCACGGGCCCAGCCGCTCCGCGGCACGTAGGCTTCATGATTTTTATTGCCTCTTTTCTCAGGGGTCAGGCCCAGCACAAGCTCGATGACTTCTGTGTTAACACAGAGAACTGACCTGAATTAGTTCATTTTTGAAGTTTGCTTTCAGTAAAATACCTCGTTCTCTTTTGAAGGAGGAATTTAGGGGAAGATTCTGCATTCATCTGTTTATTCATTCACTCATTTATTCAACAAGTATGTATTGGGCATTGAGGAAGCTGTCTTTCTATGTCACTGAGTGATTGGCTAGACTGAATAATTAACATTTCTCTTGGCCATTTTGGTGTGGTGGGCACAAGGTTTCTGAGATGCAGCCTATCAGGAAGCTCATCTCAGAGTCTTTCTAACAAATCCTTTGGTTCAGGGAAACCTCACCAGGCTTGATCCTCCCAGCAGTGCGATGCTCATTAAACACAGTGAAAGGCTGTCCAGTGACGCCCTGTATCTGACATGGGAGCGTGAATGTATTAACTGCACATTT